CAATAAGGTTGTGAAGGTCTTGAGAGAGCTCTTTACTTTTACCCATCATCAGATGGTTCTTGTACTGAGAGAGTTCAGCTGGTGTCTTGGCTTTCCATGCCTTTTTACACCTCCCTTTTCTTCATGTGTTCAATACTTTTTCCCTGTGCCATTCCACATTATTACAAATAACTTCATTTCTGGACATTTATGGTTTGATTTCTTTGTATGTATGGATCACGGGTTGTTACCGACATCTGGTGAAAATTTCATGTCATTAGCACCTCTAGTAACATATTTACTGAGAAAAATGGTGATGTGTTCAATAGTTACTTTACCTGCTTTATGTATGCGTGTGTGTTTTTGTGTGGTCATTGTACACCTGAGCAAATTTTGATTGATTATTTCTAATGCACTGCTACAAAAAGTTTCATCATTTTCTCATATAACTGAAATATTGTGTCGTGTAGGGATAAATCATGATTTCCACCTCCCTCCTGCTGCAGCTCTACATTGTGCATAGCAAAGCATTTAATCAACAATAGTACTGGTTTTATTTATACCAGAGTCAAAGAAGGAACAACTTGTTTATTTGCCCTTGTTAACCATGAAGATGAAAAGAAAATGTGAAAGTTTGCGTTCTGGTGAGTCCTGCTAATGTAACGACCAGCTTCTGTTCTGGGTGCAGATTGTTTTCAGTCACATGTGGAGCCCGAAGTTGGCGCTGCTCCACCTCAGTAGCTTTTGCTTCACAGCCACAAACATGCCCACAAGTGTGTGTGTGTGTCCCCAATTAATCAGTTTCCCCAGCAGAGAAGGTACACTGCAAAGGCTGAAAAATTCAGAAATATGAATAAAATTAAGGGTATGATTAAACACAGGGATTAGATTTTTTTAATGCTTTTAAGCTCAAAGAATGGGGATCTCATTATACTTTTATTGCATTATACATGAATAAATATGGTTGTTTTAATCTGAAGAAAAAATAGTCACTTTCAAACTTCTAACGCCAAACTTGTCACTACAAGCTAAACATTTCAAAGAGCAATTTGTTGCAACCAGCTTATTTTTTTAAACCAACAAAACTAAGTGTCACACCTAAAGACAAACATATCAATTTGAACATGATTTGAACACAAAGCCTATGCCTGGAAGTTTGATACCCTTTGTTCTTCTCTATAAATCTTCTCACAAAGTTAATATTTGTTTATTAATGCTCTATTTGATCAGTTCCTTTTGAAAATTAAAGTTTTCTTTGTCATTGCATCTCACAGCAGCAAATATATAACTTACAATACACAACTTCCCTTTGTTTTAAATTGTTGAATGGGTTTCTTGTTTGCTCAAATCTGTTGCAAAGAGTTGTTTAATTTGAGCTGAATCAGGAGTGGAAATGTATTTAAAGTCAAGCTATTCTCTTTTCAAATGTACTGTATAAAATCTAAAAACGTTTTAAAAGTTTTGAAAATTAACAACAAAGTTGGGGTATTAGCAATTGTTTTCAGTTTTACTAAAAATAATTCCTTTGATGAAAGTTTGGTTGCAAATAAAACAGCTTTCATGACATTAAATATTAAAGTAATACATTTGTTCATCTCTAATACAATCTCTTTTTTCCCTATTGGTGCAGAAATAAAAGCAGAGGAGCAACATTTGTGGTCAAAGATGACTTTTTGAGTTTTGTGACTCAGCTGGCTCCACAACAGGGAGCAGGTGGTTGTACTTGGGTTTGATGGTGATCTGTAGAGTTGCAGTGTAGGGATCTGATAACACGATGCGGTGCAGTCCAGAATCATCCTGACAAGTCTCCATCTGAGTCAGCCCCGAAGAGTCCGCTGGATAATGTTTGTCCCCTGAAAAGATGAGAAAACCCAAAATAACGAAAATAGCAGAGAAAGCTTAAATAATCGCGTTTTCTCATAAAAGGGATCCATGATTAGTTGTAACATTAGACTTTGATAAATATATATTTTAACTGTAAAATAAACACTGTAAAAATACTGTAGGCTGTTTAGTTTTTATAACTTTTAAACTAAAAGTTTAAAAAACTTATTACACGGACGAGGCCATTTTATTTACATGCAAAGCATTCTGGGTAAATGATGACATGGATAGGTCCTCGGTGCGAGGC